CGAGAGAGATTTCACACATTATTTTTTTATATATATATATATATATATATATATATACACACACCATAACTACCTATATAAAAAACTAAATTCTTAATATATTACAAAATTTGTTGCTTATATTACACACGAAGCGTTTAATTATATTAATTTTGAGTTAGAACAAAGTGATTGATGCCAAAAACTCAAAGAAAAAATGCAAAATGATTTATGAGCTCAAACTTCACTTTAATAGGTTTATATTGATTATGCCAAACTAAAATCAAGTCTCTATCTTGGTTGTTACTCAATAAATATATTATATTATATTATAAAATTGCTTAAGCGGGCCTTAATCTATAATAAATCTGAGCTATTCCAAGCCATTATCGGGTTTTGAAGGCTTAATTAAATGGGCTTACACGTGGTTGGCTAACTCATTTGACATCCCTAGCTTCATCAAAGTGAGTATAAGTGATCTCTATTTAGTTTAAAAAGTAAAGGTATAACAATCCCACTTAATGCGTTTTTTAGACTACAATGAGTTTCATTTTATTTAACCTCACATCAATTTTAATATAATTTACTATAATTATAAGTACAAGCAATATTCTAACTATAATCACATTAATCTTATAATTATTTATTATCATTGTACCAAAATAGCGCTAAAAGGGTTAAGATCTAACCCTGGGAAACCACCAATTCTTCTGGAAGGCGCTCCTGCAAAATCAGGAATAGGCATTGGTCCAACACCTTCTCTCATGCCCTGTAAAAAGTTATTCAATAACTTCATGAAGTGATCCAAAATCGAAAAAATTTGTACAGATTTCGTTCATTATACATGAAATGCGTCTAATGCAACTAATAGCACTTTAACAAAAATAAGTGGCACAGAAGAAACATGGAGTTGTAAATAGACAACAAAATAGAAGAAGATGTTTATAAAATAGACATGAAAGTGGAAGGCTTCCACATAAAATTAATGTTGTCTTTTAACAATGGCAATTTCCATTATTTCACGATCTAGAACTAAATCTAGAAGAAGGAAACAAGAGAAAAGCGATGAAATGGTCATCTGACTCTTCTCAGGGATCCGTTTATATAACAGAGTTTATAAAAGTATCAATTTAGTCCACAAACTCTTTTAATATGACTTGAAATAGACCTCAACGAAGACTCTTTTGGACCCCATTGGGAAGAATTAATTATTTCACGATCTAGAACTAAATCTAGAAGAAGGAAACAAGAGAAAAGCGATGAAATGGTCATCTGACTCTTCTCAGGGATCCGTTTATATACCAGAGTTTATAAAAGTATCAATTTAGTCCACGAACTCTTTTAATATGAGTTGAAATAGACCTCAACGAAGATTCTTTTGGACCCCATTGGGAAGAATTTAGCACTTTATAAACTCTGAGACTAAAATGGCCTAAAGTAAATAGTCAGGGGACTATTTTGGAACTTTACTTGAAGAAAAACATAATTCTATTCGACCACAAAGAAAAGAATTGTTTTTTTTTTCTGTGGTCAAGGTAAAAAAAGTAATGTATTTCATAACTGGCAAAAAATCTCCATGGACAAAGACATGCTAGCCCCACCAACAGAGAGATGAACATTAATGGAGATCATAGAAATTACAAAAACAAATAAGTACAAATGTTGTTAAATTATAGATTTGATGATGCAACTCTAGCACATGTCAAGTAGAATCTGCGACAAAACAAAAAGGACAAGCAAAAAAAATCAGTCAAGCCAGTCCATTAAGCAATACATGTCCAATAAAAACTATTTAAGCCCGTAACATATTGAAATAATATACCAACATACTATAATTTCAGTATTCCAAAAAATAATTTCTTCCATTGGGCAGAGGGCTGGATAGGCTTATCGACGACACACAAGTCAAATTCTAATTAAAGGAGGGAAATTCCTTCATGGATCAAGAATTATGTATGGTAAGTTGTTCTTTGAAATCTTAATATAGTACTAAAAATAATCTGAACAAACAAAAAGATATAATCAACTTTGAACGCTAATGACAAGTGAAAGGTCAAACCATGAAGCAAAATATAACAAAGTTGTCAAAAATAGTTAGCATTTCCAAATAAAAAATATTTGACATGGTTATAAATGCAATTATTTATTAATTAGTTATTATAGCGTCGGCTTTCTTCGAATTTGCCTTCTCAAGGGTGGTTTAGTGACAGTTGCAGGGGAGTTTGAGAAAAGTAGACAACCTACAAAAAAAATTGACTTTTAGTTGACTGTGGTTGTCAGTATCTGTAGGTAGACGGAAGACCTCGATAGATAATACTTCAAGGGAGTTTGCAGGGAAGTTGACAACCATATGAAAAATTGCAGGGTATGACCTACAAAACAAGAAAAGCCCAAAAAAACCTCTGCGGCAGAAAAAACTCTAGAAGGCCTGATACATAAAAGCTCCAGAGGAGGATCTGCTGCATAAAAGAATTTGGAAGAGGGTCTGATGCAAAAAAAAAGCTTTCGACGAAGACCCGATATAGGAAAAGGCTCTGGAGGAGGCTCGGTTACATAAAGAATTTTGGTGGAGAACTTGTTACAAGAAAAGCTCAGGAGGGCCTGATGCAGAAAAAAGTTCCAAAGGAGGGCTTGTTTAGGGGAAAAGCTTCAGAGGAAGAGGCTTTGCACCGAGGAGCGCATCTAGCAGGATACTTCCGAATACAGAGAGAGTTCCGAATGTAAAGGAAAAACAAAGGACTGCATGAAGTTTTTTGGGCAGTAGGTAGGAAACAATGGAAAAAGGAAAAATAGGTTGGCTGTTGGGATTCCATTCAAAGATATGTCCAGTCTTGTCATTGTAACAAGTTGTTTTGAAAGTAAACCAAAGATAAACTCCTTTGTAACAAGTTTCCCGTTGTTTCCACAAACCACACATGTGAAATGACGAAATACACAACGGAAGCAGTTGCAGCTGCAACTTCTTGCAGGAAGGAATAGCAGTTGAAACCTGCAAGGGGAAAGCGTCAAAAATAGCTCCTCACCTCTATCCACTTTTGTTGGGAAGACATCTGGGAAAATAACTTCTCCTCTTCGGTTGTGAGTACCACTGCAAAGAGAAAGTCCCAACTCATTGAACATTGGTGGTGACTCTCCGATTAGGATTTCCAAAAGAGAGAAAGAGCCAATCACACCCAGGAAATTCTGCTGACAGAAAAAAACTGCAGAAGAAAGAGCTGCTGGAAACACAGGTCCCCTTGATGTCTGCGCAAGGGAAAATACTGCAGGAGAAAGGGTCCGCTACGAATCAGGCTGCAGGAAACAATGTTGGATTTTTATAGAAGAACAGCAGGAAACAACAGTAAATACCGCTAGATTTTAGAGAAATAGTTGTGTTGTGTGGAAAGGATGTCGGTGTAAGGCTAAACAAATAATGTGGACACTTCATCAATAATAGGGAGCTCAAGATACAAAAAAACACCGCTGGAAACACAGGTCCCCTTGATGTCTGCGCAAGGGAAAATATTGCAGGAGAAAGGGTCCGCTACAAATCAGGCTGCAGGAAACAACGTTGGATTTTTATAGAAGAACAACAGGAAACAACAGTAAATACCGCTAGATTTTAGAGAAATAGTTGTGTTGTGTGGAAAGGATGTCGGTGTAAGGCTAAACAAATAATGTGGACACTTCATCAATAATAGGGAGCTCAAGATACAAAAAAACACCACGAGGGACATCATGCTTTCCAAAACTTCTCACTAAAGGTGTTGAAAGCATCATGCCACTGTTAATTGTCTTATCACTCGACGTCTGACTGTTGAGTCGGAGGCCACGCTCGAGACAGTAAAGCTCCCAACAGAAATTTTCGAACTGAATGTCGGCCTGGCCGGTGTAGATCGACATGCACTCCCTCATTTTTTAACAGAGAAAGAAAAAAACTCAAAGAACAAAAATGCAGAAGTTTTCCAGTCAACAGAGAGGGTTTTCGGTGATAGGAGAAAAAGACTTTCTGCAACATACGAGATTTTCGGATGATAGCAGCTGCAGGGAAAGGAAAGTGGCAAAAATCGTTTCAAATATCAAGGCGAGTGCCACGCATAGAGGACGGCAGAAAGGGAGTTTGACGGTTCTTGAAGGTCTAGTGGCCAAGGTATAAAATTAAGCTCTGATACCATGTTGAAATTTAGAATAATGTAAAATTTTTTATTGATATGAAATGGGATATAAATAACCCTTACATGAATTCAAGAATAAAAAAGACAATAAAAATAAAATAACAAAAAAGAAAATATATAACACATAAAAAATCTCCAATTAGTTAATTCATTATAATTATTTGGAGATAAAGGAAACATAAAATAGGAAATCCTAAAATAAATAAATAAATAAAACTAATCGAATAAAATAAATCTAAAATAGAAAAGGAAATAAAATTATATTAGAAAAAAAAAATCTAATACTCATAGCTCCTAATTGGAATAAATTAATTTTTAATATAACTTCTAACAAAATAAAATATCTTTATAGGTAAAGTATGAAAACCAAACTGTTGGGTAAATTTTACGAAAAACATTGAAAGCTCTATTAATAAGGAATGTAGCAAAAAAATAACTTCACCAAAAAGATATATTGGCACCTGATTTCTAAATAACAATGCTCAAACTATTTACAATAAGTATTTTACTATTTTTAGTTGCATCAACTTCATGTGGGATGTCGACACGGAAACTTTGATGAACTATCTTTTTTTTGAAAAAATCGGACCTAAAATATTTTTAAAATATTATCGATCATTATCACTCCATAGTATTTGAGTAGTTTTTTGAAAATGTGTTTGTATCGTGGTGTAAAAAATTTTAACAATTGTTTCCACTTCACATTTTTCTTTCATTAAATATAAACAACTTAACATTGAACATTAATAAAGGTCACAAACCATTTTTTTCGAGTAGGGCTCGTGTTCGATGTTTATAAGTAGGGATATTAAAATGGCCCGTTATTCGTGAACAGCTCGTGTTCGATTCGTTCACTAAGTTAGCGAGCTGAACACGAACAATTTTTTTTGTGCTCGATATATAAACGAGTTGAACACGAACAAAGATTTGCTCATGCACGTTCAGCTCTTTTTGGCTCAAAATACAACTCATGAAATATATATATATATATTGATGAGTAGTATTTTTATAAAATTTAATTGATTGCAAGGCTACAAACATTTATAATCAATTAAATTATTAATTAAAAAAATAAAATATATTAAATTATATTTAAAGAAAGTTTTAATATAAATAATAAGAGTTACACCTTGCCCCAACCCTTAACTTCCTGCAGCTGCGTGATAAGGGTTGTCAAAATGACTCTTTGTTCGCAAACTGCTTTTGTTCGGCTCGCTGAGCAAATGAGCAGAACACAAACACTTTTTATGTTCGAAATATAAATGAGTTGAAGATGAATAGTGATATTTTTTAACGAGTCAAACACGAGATGAACTTGGGCTCGCTCATGTTCGGCTCATTTACACCCCTATTTATAAGGAACCTGAATATCACTATGATTCAAATTAAAAGGTGTAGTGGGTTTGAAAATTTGGAGAGGAAAAGACACTAAAACCTTTGACAAACTGATAGACTTCACATTTGAAAGGTAGATTTTTGTTTTAAAATAAATTGAGAAAGAAAAATTTTAAATATTGAAAACTAGAATGACCCAATCTATAATGTCATTACATAATGAAAATGTTTTCAAAAGTAAAATCAAAATTTAAACAAATACTTTGAGATTGTCTATTCA